GCTGTGTAAAGAAGTGCTTCCTCAAATTTGTTTTAAAATGTTCTCCCGCTAGTTTCCACTTATGGCCATGAGTTCTATTATTTAGACTAATATTGAAATAGTCATTTGGCTGAACAAATAAACAGGTGTTGACTCAAAACGTTGGGGTTGCATGCTCAATACATTAATGCTCGATAGGGTTTGGGCCATGGAAGGAATTTTATTTTTGTGACATTTACTCAGTTTGTTGGCCAGCACTTTTGGGAACCCCACCTCTTCTTGCTCACAGAAGGGCTGCGGGTACCACCTGGACTTGTTCATGGTGGGCATAATGCTGGGCGTGTGCTCGGTGATGGGCCTGCCATGGTTCGTGGCCGCCACCGTGCTCTCCATCTCGCACGTCAACAGCCTGAAGCTGGAGTCCGAGTGCTCGGCCCCCGGGGAGCAGCCCAAGTTCCTGGGCATCCGCGAGCAGAGGTTCACGGGCCTCATGATCTTCCTGCTGATGGGCTGCTCCGTCTTCATGACCTCCGTCCTCAAGGTCAGCATGGGCTGATTTCAAGGGCTCCCACGGTATCTTTCAAAGGGAAAGAATAAGCTACAAAACTGGCCATTAGCTATAAATAAGAAAGTCACAAGTAGGTAGGAGGATGGGCTGGTGTTACGTGGCTTATTAATAGAGTTTGACAACAAAATTCGTAGAGGGGTGTAGGTGGTAGGCATTTAAAATATCAAATAAACATGGGACCATCAGCCGATCATTTTGGCCATCCATTGCAGGGATGGGCCTATTTTTTAGGGAATTATCCTTCAGAGACAATGATGGCATTTATGCAAGAACATCTGATGGTTCAAATGATCCCTTTGGTGGTTGATGGCTTTTGCGTTGATGCTTTTGCATTTTCCCGTGCTGTTTCTTTCTAGTTTATTCCAATGCCTGTGCTGTATGGAGTATTCCTTTACATGGGGGCTTCTTCGCTTAGGGGGATACAGGTAAGATGTGGTCAGTAATTATGGGATATCTAACTGGTCCAATAAGCTAAATACTTGCATTGCGTAGCAGATCCTGTTGGTTATCCTTCTTGCCTTTGCCTTTTAGTTCTTCGATCGCCTGAAGCTGTTCGGCATGCCAGCCAAACACCAACCTGACTTCATCTACCTGCGACATGTTCCCCTGAGAAAAGTCCACCTCTTCACCATCGTCCAGCTCAGCTGCCTGGTCCTCCTCTGGGTTATCAAGACCTCAAAGGCTGCCATCGTCTTTCCTATGATGGTGCGGTAATACCTCCCTCTGGCAGCACAGCTAATGCTGCTTCACTGCTGATTCTTGTGCAGCAAGGTCAGGTGACTCTGACCTGTTGCTGGTTATCAGTCGATTTTGTTCAAATTGCTTTTGTTTATAGTATGTAGTGGTTCTGTTTTGTAGAATGGAGGGGGGTGTCTTCAAATCATTGCTTATTTCTCTTCATCAGGTCTTGGCTCTGGTGTTTGTACGGAAGCTGCTGGATTTCTTCTTCACGAAAAGAGAGCTGAGCTGGCTCGATGACCTAATGCCAGAGAGCAAGAAGAAGAAGCTGGAAGATGCTGAACGAGAGGTACTTCTCATTGGTGCAAGATGACAGCAAGTGAATTTTTCACATGGACTTTAGATCTTTGTACAGTGGTGCCTGTGGTTCACGAATGCTGTGGTCTATGAACAATTTGGTTTGTGACGAAAAATTTTGTGAAAAAAATGCATTGGTTCGCGTACAAAATTTGGTCGATGAACAGATTCCTCGACCAGATTCCTTTAATTATACTAGTCTAGCACCGGTGGGGCGCATTTCCCAGCATGCCCTATGTGCAATTGTAAATAGAAGGACCACAACGGGCAACCAACAAGCACCGAACTGAAATACACAGACGGGAAACACAAGGTTGTCAGACGCCGAACTACAAGATGCACACACAGTGGAAGAATTACACACGTTAAATACACGCGAGGATTGGACCGAGTACACACAAGACAGGGGCAAACACACGCTCGACAATAGGGAAATGCAACCATTAACATTAATAAAGAGCATGATTTCCCTGGCAAACAAGTCTCCATGTCTCTCTCTGCTCCCGCGATGCCTCGGTCCGCCCGTCGTCACGCTATATTGTGTTTTTCTTTAAAGATTTTACTATAAAAACCAGAAAATTAATGAACAAAAATTATTATTTGGTAGGCTTGTGAACGAATTAATCGAATTTCAGTGCCTTCTTATGGGAATAATTGCTTTGGTTCACGTACAAATTGGTTCACGACCACTTTCCTGGAACAGATTGTGTTCGTGAACCACAGGCACCACTGTGTTAGTAATTGTCAAAATAGACAATGTGTAGCTATTAGGCTGCAAATTTAAATATGTCGTTTGAAAATATGTGTCAACTTAGAATCTGACAATCAGAGAAATGCCTGACTCCTTGACAGTGTTTATGGGAGATGATTGAAGACTTTACTGTTTCTCTATGCAGGAAGAACAGAGTATCTTAGCTGAGGATGAGGGAATCGTTCAAGTGCCATTAGAGGGAAACTACAAGTAAGCCCAGATAATATATCTTTGTTTAGTGTTAAACAGTTTTTTTAAGCAATCTTGTCATATGAGATGAACTTTTATTAGACAATCATCTCTAATTGTTTTTGGGTTATTCTACTCAGTCCATTGGATTAATTATGCTACATCTTCTTTAATGTCTGTAATGTATAATTCCATGCATTTTTAGCATTGCTTACGGCAACATTTCTTATAAACACCAATAATATCACTCTTTTGAAAACATGCAAGGACAAAATTTGAGATTCAAAGCATGCTGGAATAAACAGGTGTTAAGTGCCAAAAAAAATTGGCATTGATCATATTTTGATATCTTCACTTCATTTCATATCTTGTTCTCAGGGATGACCCTTCAACAGTGAACATTTCTGACGAAATGTCCAAAACCTCTTTTGGAAACGTTTGGAAGTCCCTCAACACAGAAGACTCCAAAAAAGACCCAAGCTCGAAAAGGTTTTGAATTTCAGTGTCTGTAGATGTCGAATGTCACCCTTATCCTTGTGCTCGTGGACGTCTAAATTTTAACAAGTTTAATTGCTACTGCATTTATTACTATTTTCTTATATTTTATAGTGTATAATAACAGTGTAAATATTTCCAACCACAGAAATTCGATAAAAGAAAACATGGTTACATGAAGAACATGTCTGTCAGCTTTTCAAGGGAATCGGCTATAATTGTTTGATTCCATAAGGCTGCAGGATATTGAAAAAATAAATATTTAATGCACCAGACTTCCACTTCCTAAAAGAACTCAAATGTTATTATATATATATAATTCAAAAATACCTAATATTTATTTGACTATCTGCCCAGAAAAATGCTATGTCAAGATAAAGACCAATATTCTGTGCAATGATGATGTTTTTTATGACACCATCAGACTTGATTGTCCATTTAAGCTAAATGCTTGTAGTCTTACAAACACAAATTCACAGACTGAGACACCAGTGTCACCCAGGCAACCCTGGTAGAAAAGATGCCATTTTTCATTTTTCATCTTGTAAATGAATGTGAATACATCTGTGAAATACGTAGCATTTGTTACACAAACACAATTCTTATTCTCTTTCACCCTGCACTGTACTGATAAGGAAAGGTCATCCTTTCCCTCGTAGGGCAAATGAATTTAACACATTCTTTATCGATTTCTCATCCCTATTCTGTCATAAGCTCCCTTTCTTAACCTCTTAAAAGCTGATTTCCCAAAGGTAAGTGCCTGTTCCTCTTTCATTATTCTTTTCAAGTATTTGCGGAATGCCGTGTCTGTATTGCACTTTCGTAAATATTGGTCCACCTCCGCATGATGAAAAAAGGCTTGATTTACTCGGGCGAGGTTTTTCACCAGATTTCCTATAATTCCTGAGATCAATCACCTTTCTTTATCAGAGATAAACTGCACCATACATTTGAAGCTGATTTACATGTCCACCCCTTCTCCCTGTTTTTAAACCTTTTGCTTGTTTTTTTTGTTGGGAGAATATAAATGCGGTGATTGTGGGGGTGTAGGGGCGTTAGTGCATGTCGAGGGTGTGATTTGGGAAGGACGCCGGTGACTGAAGTGCATGTACGCAAGGTCGCCAAATGGGGCCACTGTTTGCATGACACCATCGCCCCCTGCTGGGCTCTGTTTGCATGCTGCCTCCTGCTCGAGGCTGCAATGTCAGTGAAAGGCAGTTCTCCCCCATGCAATTTGTTGAACAACAATGCAGAGAGATGCCGTAGAGGTTGAGCAGATGAATCAAGCCTTAGCTTTGCTGTCAGAACTGTACGGAGGAACTGTCATTTCACAGACATCGCAACTCCCCCCCCCACCAAAAAAATGCCCCTCAACTGTTTCACTCTTATGGCTCACATTCTGTGGAACATTCCAGAACACCACAGAAAGACCATTTTAAAAACCTAAGTCTGGTAATGCTTAGCCAGAGAGTTGATAAATGGCTTCATGTATCTGCCAATCAGAGATTTGTATATTGTAATGTGTGATTATATATTTTTTTCTTCTCCCCCTCTTGTCATCCCTTCAAAAGCAGCGTGAGGAAACAGGGGAGAGGAATGGACATGAGCAAGTGCTTTGACAGGGAGACGAGCCTATGATTGACGTTTCTTCTGTCACTGTGCTACTGTTGAATGGATAGTGAGTTGGGGAGACTTCTCTGCATTTTCCTGTAAGTCTGTTTATTTGCAAACATGTAAAACTGTTTTTTTTTCTTTTAAGAAACTAAAAACCCCATTCCTCTATGGGGCAAACAAGCAACAATTAAGATAAGTTTTACTTACTGTGCAACTCAAAGTAATACCAGCAATTTAATTAAGAGTTGTAAATTTGATAGGTGATTCGCAGAGAGCTCGTTCTATGGTGAGATGCTGAAGTTAGCTGTCCTGAAAAAAAAAAGTTTTTAAAACTCCTTTTGTTTTAAAAAGAATTCATATGAATTTTGTATGTTTTGTATTTTTTTTTCAAGACAATAACAGGTTGGTAACCTTTGAGAATACAAATTATCTATAGGAAACTCACTCAGTGTACAAAGGAGCACAACCACCGGCAATGAACTATTTCAAAATTTAGTCAGGTAACTTTGGTGCATAACAGTAATGGCAAAGCTGGACTCGTAACTACAGACTTGCATTATTAAGTTCCCACTGAGTTATTTTGCTGAGAATATCTGGCCGTATTAGTAGGTGAAGTTGTGAGACAGTAGGCTGAGCTGGTTACGATACAACTGTATGAAGTAACAAAGTAATTATGCCAGTAATAGAATAAATATTGAAGTAATTTCAGACATGGGCTATTTAAACATAATATATATGAACAGTCAAATGGCAAAGACAAGCATAAAGAGAGTATGTTTAATATCCAGAGATATTGTCAGTGTCTGTGTGTATGTGATCATTGTTTTAGTGTAACTGATTATTTTTTTCTAATTTGAATCGCACTTCACTAGTTACGCTAAAGCTATACAGTATGACATATTAGTAAATGTCCACATGATTTTTTTTTTTTTAACTACAATGCTTCAGAATGTTACTCTATGTATTTCCATACAACACTGGCAGTTATTATAAACTAAATCAATGTTTGTTTTATTTGTGTCTGCTGCATTCAAGGCTTAGTGAAGAACGAACGTAACCAGAAACCAGAGTAGACCTTAAGGCTTAAAATAAAGTACAAAAATGACTACATTGCAGTCATGCTACGTGTAATCTTAAGCAGTCACAATGTAACTAGCCTATTTGATATTTTTCAATACTGAAAATATATTCATAAGACAATACAATAATATTTGCTATGAAAATGAACACTTGTATATAATTTCATGAAAAATTAAACTTTGTTATTGAAATCATAGAAATAATCAATAAGTGTAAATTTCAGGATTTCCTGTTTTTAACAGGATACATTCAATAACTTTATATACAAATTTACTGCAGGATTCAATGTTATTAGAAACAGACACAACAGTTATTTTATTTTAAAAGATCTATAGTATAATTATTGTAATAATTTGAAAATTCTAGAAGTCCTTTATACATTAAATCAAGTTTTGTTTGGGTCTCAGAGGTAAAATTAAAGGGAGTTGTTTTCTTTTGATATATGGTAAAGAAAAGAAAGTCCACTGAATTCACTTGGTTGTGAACATCTATGTAAATTGCAATTGGGACAAACAAAACTGAAACCATTATATTTAAAAAGGAAATTACATAAAACACTAAATACAGCAGATGGATTTGATGCAAGGATGACTTGCATATAAAATTTTAGATTATTAAAGTTATTTGCATTTCAGAACTTATAGAATTCTTAGAAACTAGTACGGATTTATTGTTTTCAAATGTTGTAACTTGTAACATATCACAAATGTGTCAATGTGAAATCAAATAAATAGATTTAAACACTGTTCACTCTCAATCATGACTCCAGTATGTGCAACTATACTGGACAAAATTCACGTTGTTTGATGAATATGTATCGGTATGTAAAAAATGAAAATTGAAATTATACTTAATTTACCATCAGTATGCGTACGACTACATTGGCTGCTTCTTTTCACATATCCCATCATGCTCTCCTTGGAGACACACACATACAGATGAGAGTTTGGGGTCCAAGAGCAGTTACCCAGCATGCTTTGTTCAACTGTGCCATCAGTGCCTAAAGAATGGGAATAAGGATATGACGGTATCCATTTAGATTCATCAGCTTGGCTAGTAGCTGGGCCCAGAAACCTAGGCCTTCTGACAGAACTTTGGTGACGATAAGCAAGCAAAATGCTCGTGGGAGATTTACTTACACAAAAATGTTCTGAGGGCAGAAGGAAAAAATAATTGGTTCAGAGAGAGAACCAATCAGATGATAGAGGAGGTAGTTCAAACATCTAGAGGAGGTGAGATCAAGACATCTGATTGGTTGGTCCCACCTCCTCTAATTGCTTGGACCCACCCCCTTTATCATCTGATTGATAATCTCTCTGAACCAGTAATTTTTCCTACTGCCCTTAGGACATTCTTGTGTAAGTAAAACTCCCACAAGCATTGAAGATGCTTCGTGTTTCTACTTCTGATAGTGAGTAATGAAGCTTTTCATGGATTGAGTTCTATTACAATGTCAATCACCAACCAGTTTAACTAGCTTTGCATTGGGTACTATGTGAAAGAAGAGGCTATGGATGTTCTGGAGTGGGATGTGATCACGGAAAAGGCAGCCCCATTTGCTCCATACAATTGATTTTAGATAAAGTACTACTTTTTCACAACAGGGAGGGAGACCAGAAGCTATCTGCTCTGGCAGCTCTCGTGTTGTTTTGTTGGAGCTGAAATGGCCGTCTAGGATGTTTCTTCTGCTCGCCAAGCCTAGTGTCTCCCGGGGGGCCTGATAAACTCCCTGCACCATCCTCCAGTCCTCCTTTCACGTGGATCTGCCTTTGGCGTCCACACAGATGCAAACCTTACAGTTACCTTATCAGTTCCCATTGGAGTAAACTTGCTAATGACTGACGGCATGTGGTAATTCCGCCCCCAGTATTGGTTCCCAAGCTGCATTTAATCCATTAGCAATTCTCACCCAACTGGATGGAATCATCCAGAGCCTCTAAGCAGAGCCTGACGATGTAAAGTGTGTGGATGAAGTGACCCTTTGTGGCCATGCCCTTCAAACTAACTGGCAAGCCCATGGGTACATCACGTAATGTCTCATACAGCTCACAGGTATCTTTCATGCCCACCATCAGGCACGACTGAAAGTAGCTGACGGAGGAGATGATCTCCTGTTGAAGGAGATTATGTAACACTTATATCATTCTTAGCATTTGCTAACCTGATGGATGTTTACACAAGGTCACAGTTTTTAGGGAGACAGTATATTTTACAATTGTTTTATAGGCCTTTAGTCATAAATCAATTGTGGATTATTGAGTTTTGATCCTTTGTCTTTCATTACTATTTTAGGCAAATGCCCATTCATTTCCCCATCAACAGGAGACCTGACACATACCCCAGACAGCACAGGAAAAACATGCAGACTTCACATACTCATGCCTGTTTTTCTAAGTGCAAGAGATGTGGCTGCATGCATCTGCTTTCCAAAACTGATCTACAGGGGTGAGGAGGTGTATGACACTAACAGACTTTGAACTCATCACGGTTGCGTCTTGTGGCGTTCTTATCTATGGTGATGGCCAATGACACGCCGGGCATCAGGAGTCGCACCATGCAGCGGACTGGCCACATGCAGGAGAGGCTGCAGATCTGCTCGCTCAAAAATGTGAGCTTCTTCTTCCTCCTTGGCGACTGGTAACTTAAAGATCTAAGACAGCAGCAGATTTGTTTAATGCAGATATTTTTTAAAGAAGATAACATAATTAAAATGTTTATTTAGTCAATTTAGTTTCTTACTCTGGTCTGCCCATGTTCTTGGACACGTGGAGAAGGCCTTTGATCTCCTTGGGCATCATGAAGCTGATCTTTGGAAATCATCTTTCAGGTGCTTCAAGCCTGTGAGGAACACCTCCTTCCCCTCATCTATTTGCCTGGTTACCTAGAATGGCACATGACATTCTGCAATCTTGTTTAGCTAAGTCTAACACTTAACACTTATTCATAATAATCCATTTAAGAGAGAGGTGTAAAGTTCCGGTTCAGAAAGTCCAGACCAAGGTTTTGTGTCAACCAACCAATTAGGTGTAAAGAGTCATAGTCACTCATCTAGGTGGTTGACACAAAACCTTGGTCTGGATTTGTACTTTCTGGACCTGAACTTTCCACCTCTGTCTGTAATGGATTACTTTTGTGAGTAACTTCCGCAACACCACGTAGGCGTGATGAATTTCAGGAGCTGTGAGAGGTAACTTCTTCAGTGCAAAATGCCATATTTTCATAATCTCCGGCAAAGGTAGTTCGATGACGGGACAGTGTTTATTTATACTAAATAATAATAATAATAATAATAATAATAATAATAATTAGTATTATTATTATTATTATTATTCCAAAAACAATACTGAGCAGGCAGGGAGGGAGCAGTGTTGGAGTAGAGAAATGCACCTCTCTCCTTAGAGGAGACGCACTGCACAGCTGGCAGAAATACGATAGCACCTGTGAGGCTGGGGGCAGGGTGAAGTGCGTCGGAAGATGGAGAGGATGCGGCTGGCTGGGGAGGGGCACCCTTGGGCTGCCGTAGAGGTTGGCGTGGGTGGCAGTGATCGCCAGCTGGAAGTAAAACTTCGTGGCAACATTCAGTGCCAAACCCCAACGTTCAGAACATGCCCCATGGTCTGCGTCCGCCTGCGGTATTCACAGTCGCTAATGACGTTAATTTACGTCTATAGCAATACAGCTCGGCATCCAGAGAGATGGCGCTGGGAGGAAAGGTAAATGTATCTTAATGACAAACAGATCTTGTGATGTGGACGCCCACACACCTAATCATTCTATTCTACCAGTGCAACAAAGGATATTATCATTATTTATCAAGTTCGTAATTAAATTACAAGATTAATTAAAATTAAGATGTTGTACCTCTTTGCATGCAGTAAATTTTCAAAGGGGTCATCTGATTATGTGACACTGTTTCTAGGGATAAAAGTATGGATGAAAGATGTATGTTACAACCAGTTTACATTTTATGTATTTTATAGTCATATAGTATAATATTATTATTCTTATGAGACACAGGTGGTCACTGTTGGGTTAATCAGGCAGGGGCGGCGCTGGAGGTTTCGGGCCCCATGAAAGCATATCATATTGGGTCCCCAACCCAGACTAATCCATTTCAGGGGCCTTGAAATTGCTCAAACTTAATTCCCGCCCATTTGCAGTGGCCATCAATCCAGACTACCCTTGTCAGAAGGCAGTTCCTTCTTGTCAGACTCCTGTCCGCTGAGCTGCGGGGGGGGTTCACGGTGACAGTGCTGCCTGTGGCAACCCTGTAACTGCAGACAAACTCGCCGGAGCCGCAGCTCGGGTAGCGGTGGGCCAATGGGACAAGATACTGCACTCTGCTAGTACAAAGGCAAGGCAAACATCCATAAATCACACACCACTAATGCAGTACTGGGTTACAGGGAGTCATTCACACAGGACAGGCACTTTAAAGATAACAATCCAGTAAATCATGTCTTTGGGTGAAACCCATCTGACTGAAATTAAAAGTGCATGAAATTAAACTGCATCGTTACTATGTTTTCATTATGTGTTTAATCCAAACAAAATTGCAGCCCAGTCTTGCTGTTCGCTTGTCACTGGTGCCATCTAGTGGTCAGTAGCGCCTCGACCGGCCCCAGAGCGGTGCATCTATTGTTACACAAATAAAATTGAATTGAACTGAACAACATTTTCGTCGATCAGCAAATTATTAAAGATATTCTGTTAATCTGCATAGTTTGTGTTAGCCTAATATGTAAAATAATACTACACATTTTCCAAGTTTTAGTCTAGAAGAAAATGATCAAATGTTTATTTATCTTACCTATTTACCTATTTACAATCAAAGTTGATGAGCATTTTCTAGAGAAATTTAGCATAAAGTTCTCTAAACATTCTGCACTGACCCTGGAAACTGTCAAACCTGCAGCGGAACCTTATAATTGAAAGCCCAAGGTTAACAAAAGCATTTTGTTCTTTAGCTAGTCATTTCAGCTAGTTCATAGCATGTAAGCCTGTTAAAGCACCCGCTACCTACGCGCTACCTGCCTGCTACCTACCCGCTACCTGCCTGCTACCTGCCCGCTACCTGCCTGTTACCTACCCGCTACCTGCCTGTTACCTACCCGCTACCTGCCCGCTACCTACGCGCTACCTGCCCGCTACCTACACGCTACCTGCCCGCTACCTACCCGCTACCTGCCCGCTACCTACACGCTACCTGCCTGCTACCTACGCGCTACCTGCCTGCTACTTGCCCGCTACCTGCCCGCTACCTACCCGCTACCTGCCCGCTACCTGCCTGCTACCTACCCGCTACCTACCCGCTACCTGCCCGCTACCTGCCTGCTACCTACCCGCTACCTACCTGCTACCTGACTGCTACCTGCCTGCTACTTGTTCACTCCTCTTTGATGTTTCTGCCTCGTCGCCACTGTCCTCATCCTCCCTGCAGACACCTACTTAAATAAATCCCTTATCTTTGCACACTTTGGGATGTCGGCATGCAAAGCCTTTTTCTTTTGTGACACACCTTCCCTGCACCAGAGGTCACAGTTTAATCTTTTTCATCCATATTTTGGCAATAAGTGCTGGATACTAACTGCTCGAGTGCTAGATAGTTTTGACGGCAACTGATAGGATATGGATTGCAAAAGCCATGTTGGTGCAACTAAGGTGCAGCCCCCACAAGACCCGAACGTCTCAATGGCCAGCTCTCACCTCGTCAGGACACAGATGCGTTGGACCTGCAGCTCTGCGACAGTGGGGATGTGGATAACGCCAAGGATCTGACAGGGTAGCTGGGTAGCCATATTGGGATTCAGTGGGGGAATCTTCAGGTGTAACGTTCTTGGGTTCTCAATGACCTGATTGGCCAAAGACC